CGTAATGAAACTGAGCTCCGCGCGAATGGAACAAACTCGAACGTCTACTTTGATGAGTTTATTTTGCGGGCAAGGTAACGTATGTTCTAAACAATTATTTCCAAAGGAAGTGGCACCAGTCGACCCTGCGACCCCAGGCGCCAATCAGAGCACTGTAAAGAGCGAGCAGGGTGCTGTGTTAATCAGTTACAAAACATCTAAAAACAGGTTTGATTGAAGCAAACATACAATGCAAAAATCTTCGCTGCAACGCTTGAAATAGTCGTTTTACACTTGCTACTCGAGCACTGGCAGGTGGTTCGCTGCCAATCTTTGTTTTTCTAATCCTTGCAGGCAAGAATCAAAAGACCTGGCTTGTCATTGACCAGGTAATCAAACATTAAACCCAAAAGTTGTGCATGGCATTGAGGTTGGCTCACTTTCATCATGATTATTTTCTGCATAATATAACCCCAGGAAAACGACAGACAACGCTCTCTCTTATATCCATATTTTAAAAAACTGCACTATGTTACGGTGTACTCTGGATGTTTCGTTAATGGGTAAGTCCTTCTCCCCGGTTCCGGCTGGAACTCGCTCCAAAACACTTAGGAGACCCAGAGCTGGCTTCTAGAACGCCAGTATGTTGTTTCTTCAGCTAAGTGTTCGGCTTCTCAAAGAAGCAAGGTTAGCGAAATTGAGCAACATTTCCAACAAGTTTTAAAGAAACAAGTTTCGCAATTTTCTTCGACGTCACTCAGGTTAAGCTATTTAAGCAAGAATGGAAGTTCTGGGTTGTGCATGTCGCCGACAACCACCACTTGGTTGTTTCGGTGGAACTGCTGCTCTGCTCGAGGAAGTTCCCCTCGCTTGTGTCCGAACACCAGCAGGTCGTGGTGGGTCAGGAGTGCGTTGTCGTGTCGGCATGGAGCATCTCTCGCAACCCCGATGAGTTCGTCAAAGCGGCCATTGCAGCAGGACATCCTTGCAAGATTGTTTTGCCCGAGGCGATTCGTCATGCCATTGGCACCAATGCGTCCGCTTCATCGGCCGACCTGGCTAGGCAGAGGGCCCTGTTCTTCCACAAGTGGACGTCCGGGCTCGCGAGCTCGAAGCGGCAGAACAAGACTTGAAACATTCCATGCCGGGTCATGTTGCTCAAATCTTGGCCCCGAAAAGGCTTTTGCTTTGGAGGGAGTTGATGATCGAGTTCGGCTATTCGGATTTGGAGGTTTATGATGAAGTAGTCTCAGGGTTTAAGCTTACGGGTCATACGCCCGGTTACTTCTGTGTTCCCCCCGACCTTTAAGCCATCCTTGAGAAGCCTGAGTGACATTTCAGAATGAGCACCCGAGGTTCGTGAAAACGTCCTCGGCCGATGCAAGCCTCAGGGTGAAGAGGATGCCACGGTGCATTCCAAAACGTTGGATGAACGAGACAAGGGTTGGGCACGCGGCCCGATCGATCGCTGCATGCTTGGAGATGACTCCCTTGTCAGTCGCAGGTTCGGTCTTAAGCAGGGTCCTAAGGTTAGGCTAATCGATGATCTGACCATGGGTGGAGTTAACGAACTCGTAACGGTTCATCCGAAACCCCATGGGCTTGACATCGTTGCTGGCATGCTGCTGACTTGCATGAAGGAGATGCCGGGGGCCGAGCTCCGCGGGAGAGCCTACGACCTTCGTTCCGCATATCGCCAGCTTCCGGTCCACCTTGAGTCTCTTAAGCATTCGTTTGTTGCGCATTGGAATGCTGAAGCCGGCGCCGTAGAAATTGACCAATTGCTTGCTCTGCCTTTTGGCGCGTCGCGCTCAGTATTCGGATTCTTGAGAGTCGCGACATCAGTCTGGTGGATTGGATGCATGGCCTTGGGCCTCATCTGGTCCGTCTTCTTTGATGATTTCGTCACTGTGGCCAGGGAGACTGATGTTCGCCACACAGAATCCGCGGCAACCGCGTTGTTTAGATTGCTGGGTTGGGATTACGACGACTGTGGCATTAAAGCTGTCTACTTTGATGTAATCTTCCGGGCCCTAGGTGTTTCTTTTGACTTGTCATCCGCCTCGCGAGGCGATGTTGGAATCTCGAACACCGAATCGAGGATTGCAGAGCTTTGCCAGTCCATTGGCGAGATCCTTGACAGCAGATCGTTGACCAGGGCTGCTGCTTTGCGCCTCAGGGGCCGAATGCAATTTTGCGACAGCTTCTTGTTTGGCAGGGCTTCCAGGCTATGTCTTCAAGCAGTCACGCTGCATGCTTACGGCAGCCCCGATGCAGCGGTTGATGACGATCTGTGGATTTCACTGTTCCGCTTCAGGGACTGTCTGGCAGCAAGCCGACCTCACCTGGTCAGCAGTCGGCATGGTGAACCCTTGTTTGTCTTCACCGATGCTTGCTACGAACCGGGGAGTGAGTGGTGCGCCGGTCTCGGCGCCACGCTCTTTGATGCATCAGGATCCTTCATAGCCTTTTTCTCCTTTTGTCTTGACAAGGCTGGCCGCGAAGTTTTGGGAGAGGCGACGAAGAAGACAATAATCTTTGAGCTTGAATTCCTTGCGGTTATCACGGCATTGGTGCAATGGAAGTCCCACCTTAAAAATCGACCCGTAGTTCTCTACCTTGATAATAACGCTGCTAGGGACGTGGCGATTTCTGGACGTGGACGCAACCAGACAGCAAAGGCTTTGGCTACTGCGCTCCTCACACTGGAGGATGCCGGCGAGATCCGGGCATGGTACGCGCGAGTACCATCGCCAAGCAATGTTGCAGATCTTCCTTCTAAGCCTCCGGCTCAAACCTGTTT